CAGGCGATCAATTGCCTTCGGCAAAGGCGATCGATCGATCAATGGACGTGTCGGCGAAACTAATGAACATTTGTAAGCCGAAAAAAATAAACGATAAACAAAACGACATAACTGCAAAAACTAGCTGCAAATTACACGTACAGAGAGCAAAGTTGGATAGATTACAAAAGCTAAATAAACATTTGATGCTTATTTATGTTAAAGACTAAAAATCTTATAAATTCATTTAATAAGATTTATTCGCTTAAATATTTAATCAAAGTCAAGCATGCGGTTTTAATTAGGAAATGCAAACTTTGATTATAATCAATAGATATTTACCATAATTGAAGTGGAAGTTTTAACGATGTGAAAGAGTCATTTCCGACCCCATAAATCATATATATTCTTGATCACATCAAAGCGAGTATTCTAGCATGCAGTAAAATTTATTTTTTCAATTTTTAAATTTTTATAAGGGGTTACATCGTTAAAATTGCCAAAAAAAAAATAATTTTTTACATTTTAAATATGTATTCAGATTATTGTCCTAATAAAACTAGCATTGGACAGCTTCCGAATTAAATTAAGGCTTTTTTGGCTTAGTTATGAGATTTTTAAACTTTGATTTTTCGAAAAAAAATGTATAAAAATATCCATAAATATTGAATCAAAGAATTCGATTATTTTAAGCTTAGTTATGATCGATTTCCTAATCAATCATATAATTCTCTTGCAAAGTGCAAGGGTACATAAATTTGGGCTTCCCGAAATTACGATTCTTGTTTTTTTTATGTTTTCTAAAGAAAAAATATTATAACACATCTCTCTAATCGTTTTAAATAACTTTAATTTGAAATATTAGTACCCTAGGATTTTTCTCTCTGTATTTTATTTACAATCCTCGACATTGACTCGTTTTTGAGTGGGTTTAAATCTCCAACTTGATAATATTTTTTCGCAGGGGGTCAGCCAGAGTTTTGTCAGGTCATTTTAGAAATAAACCGCAAAGAATTTACGACTTAGACTTTGCGTTTCAAGTTAAGCTTTATTACTGTGTTTTCTTTTTTTATTGATTGTTTGTGCAACGTAGATATGTCGAAAAAAAGTTCAAATAACTTGAATAATTGCACGCCAGCGGTCGCATAAATGGAATCGAATGGAATGAATACCCATATACCCTCCCAAATAGACCCCTTGCTCAACACAATCAATTTATATATATGTTATGAGTCTGGAAATCCGGACAATTCTTGTTTCAATTTGGCGTTGCCTCTTGCGACTTTTATTTTATTCGTTTTTGAGGAAGCGAAGTAATTGAAACCTATAATTATAGCATTCCCCTTGGATCATATATGTATTTATACGGCAAGAAAAGCGCTCCCAAATACGGTTGACATAACTCTCAATTGATGTCTCAATTTGAGAAGGAGCGGAAAAGATCGTCGTATGACTAACCGCTTAATTATGTTTAAATGTTTAAATGATTCGAATGCGACGCATTTTTGGCATGCCCCATTAGACTGATGTTGATGTTGATGTTTGCTATTTGTTGCTGCCGGTGTTTAACATGTTGTCTGGATCTGATCTGCTCGGCCAGTCGCCAGCTGTCACTTCTCAAAAGTCATCCCCACATCTCCTTTCTCCACCGGTTTGGGATCTTGGGATCTTGGGATCCATCTAATGACAATCACGACTGTCACTTTTGATTAGCGATGAGGCAGCGTCAATATGTGCCAACAAAAGGAAGCTGAGAGTTAAAGAGTTAAACGATTTGAATGTCGATCAACTGGCATATTGACATTGATGGATCTGGGGGATCTGGAGACTTGAAGGATACAAGGGGATGTCGGGTTTTTTATTGTAAATTAATTTAAATTTGAGTTGAAAAACTTTTAATATATAGAGCATTTCTATAAAAGATCTGCAATTAAAGTCAACACTGTACCAGCATATATGTATCTCTTAGATACCAGTCTCTTATACTGTGAAATATATGAAAATTTTGGTAGTCCTTCAAACCAGATCTTTACATATATCTTAAAGATATAAAGATGTACGAAAAACATTATTTATTTCAATGTTTATGGTATACTATTGAAATATATCTCAGTCGTATCAACAATATAGATTGATTCAATTAAACTCAACACTGTACCAGCATGTATCTCTCAGATACCAGTCTCTTATCCTGTGAAATATATGCTAATTTTGGGTGGCCAACTGAACAGCCTTAATTGTTGAGTACTCGCTCAACCAGTAATCGTTATCTCCGATCATAATGACACACTAATGGCGCTATCTGGCGATCTACAAAAAAAAGACGCCTTTGTGAGTCAATTTAGCAAGTGTAATTTTTGCATTTCTAGTCACGCTTTAGCGAACCGCAAAACTTCCCTAAATGGTCAGCTTCATCCTCCTCTCTAATTAGTCATTATATATACAATTAATATATATATTTATGTATACATATACTTGACCGCTGCTGGCTTGTTATCAGAGGCATGAATGAATGAACTCAGAAGCGAGTGATCGCGGTGTTAATACCCTCCACCCAAAAAGCGAGTTGACATTAAAGACATTTCGTGTTTCATTTAATAAATGTTTAAAAAGAAAAGAAACAAAATGCAAATTCAAATGAAAAGAGAACCTGTTCGCTGGCCACCAGCATTTAAATGACAATAAAAAAGAAAATAATAAAATCGTTGAAAATATTACGTATACGCTTAGGAAGAGAGAGAGACCCCCAAGATGGAAACAAATTGCAATCGTAATTGCGCTTAAGTGGCCCCAAAAAGCAGCCTCCGATCACGAGAGCAGCGAATTCATTGAAAACTCATGGAACTTGGCTGTCTCAAGGGGTCTGAAGGAAGATGATTTTGAGTGGCCTGTCAATTGTTCTATAAATAAACGTACACAGACAATTTTCTTTGTTTTGTTTTGTTTTTATTCCGGTTCTTACCACCAATTGTCTTAATTTATTGTGTCAGTTTTTTCACTATTTCGGAATTTGCGGCTGCCCGCTGATATGGATCGATAATTGCCCGCACTTTGAGGGCATCCATCCGTCTCAACTCTGAACGCTCCTCCCTTTAACTTCCACAGTTTCAATGTCGTTTGAGTGTTGGTTTTTTGCATTGTTTATGGCATACAAATCGCACATTAATCCGCTGTGCGATCAATTAACAATGTTAATGTCCGTCTAATACGATCGTTTGTGTTGTAAAGTGAATATTTTGCTTTCGGAACTGAGCAGGCACTTGTGAGTCTTGTGAATAAATTCCCAGACTCACTTGGCTGAATCTTACCCAGAATCAAGGTGGCTTGCGAGTTGCTTGAACAATCGAACGGGTTTCCAAAACGGATCTTATTTTAAACATTTTTTTTTTCAGTAAGGTTCTAGTGTTGAATTTAGCTTATTTTGATGAACCTATTAAGCATTCATCGTTATTATAGCCATAAAATTATATTTGGTCTCTCAGAGATTTTTATTATTGTTACCAATTTGTCAACTGGTTCTTGGGTGTGAACTTTGAGGCATTTTTTACTTGTGTTCATTTTTGTATATTTATTTTATATAATAATAAGAAACTATCTTCGAGAAGCCGAAACTGATATACCCTTGCAGTTTTTAATAGAATTGTATCGAAACGAATCGATATTTATTGATATTATTATCTGTATTTTTTCCTAAACAAATCAAAGTTTAAAAATCTCATAACTAAGCCAAAAAATTATTAATTTTAATTTGGAAAGCGTTCTTATGTTAGTTCTTCTTAGGTTAATAAATCTGCATACTTAGTTTAAGATATTACAAAATTGATTTTTTTTTTTTTCAATTTTTGACAATTTTAACGATGTAACCCCTTATAAAATTTTCAAAATTTGAAAAAATTAAAATTAAGCCGGACATAGCTAGATCGCCTCGGCTGCTAAGGCTGATCAAGAATATATATGATTTATAGGGTCGGAAATGACTCCTTCACAGAGTTTTTAGTTTCTGATTAAATGTATAATACCCTCCAAATGTAAAGATATTGTAAAGTTGTATTATTTCCTTTAATGTGGTTTTAAAATAGTTTAGTAACTTTATGAACTCTATGCACTTATTTCTTAGAGCTTTCTTTTCATAAACCTTTTAGAAATTATTTTCCAACCGCAAAATAATTGCCAGCTCTTGATTCTCTCAAAGTCTTGCTGTCAAAATAAGTGGCTTAATTCCCACTTCCTAACTTCTTACCCAAAGTGATCACTTTATGGAATTTCGACTGCTATTTCGGCCTTCCGCTTTTATATATTCGCACATGAAGTGGAAACCGAAACCAGCCACACTTGTTTATAGGGTTTTTGCTTGTGCTTTTGTTTATAAGTTTGGCCTGGTTGTGTTTAACTTTAGCTGGATTTATTTTTAGCCCCGCTCATTCCACTTGAATTATTGTCTAAACGTGTCCGACAACAATAGCAGCAAAGTAAATATACATAAATGTGCCAGCTTACCCTCTTTCTCATTTTTGTTTCTTTATTTTTTGCATTTTCAAATTCTATCACACAATTTGTCTTATCTCACAAAGGGCTTAGGAGGCCTTGTCCCCCGAAAAAAAAAGACAGCAAAGACATTCTCTCAACTTGTCCCAGAAGTTGTGTGTATCCAAATGTTAAGCGATAAGCAAATTTTATTTAGTTTTATATAGTGATAATTGTTGCCAGCCATGGGAATTGGTTGTAAGAAATACAGGCACTGAGGGAAAAGAGTATTTAATCATAAAATACAATTACTTATAACTTTTCTGTCAGTGTAAAAGCTTTAGTTATCAGTTTGTGCAGAATTCTTCATGCATTATAGCTTCGTTCATTCAGCAATCGTGTTCATCATCAAAATACAATGATCGTAAATCAGTTCGATCAGCTGATTAGACTGCGATAAGATTCCCCTGATTGATACTATTTACAGCATTATTTATAAACTATTTTTGTTTTGTTATTTCAAGTATATTTATATATTGTTTGGTTTACTTTTCCAGGGCTTTCAAACTTTGGCTAAGTGAGATTTCCTGGCGGCTGTTGATCAGGAAAGCCGCCTGGAGGATGCGTTTCTGCTTTGATAGGCTGTGCTTCGCAACCAAGCGGCCAGCCCAGAATTCGAGTAGTAATCCCCCACCTGGAAATGCACCCAACGGTGGAACCACACCACCAGACACCACCGATGCAGCAGCACCACAACCACAACCATTAGATACAGCACCACAAGTCAGTGATCTGTTCTACGCCGACTACCAGAAGCTGCAGCCAGCGATAATCGATCGCGATTGGGAGCGGGACAGAGACCGGGAGAGGATCAGCGAGGCCAGGCCACCGGACATAGACCCGGAGATACCAGAGAGTCCATCGTCACACTTACAGATACAGATACAGAGTCCGAGTGCGGATCCGAATCCGAATCCGAATCCAATTCCGAAACATCGCTATCGCCGGCACAGCAGTGCCGAAGATCAGAAGACGAGGCGAACCGAGTCCACATCGGAGACGATACGAAAAGCAGCCAGTATGCAGCAGGAGCCGAATGCCAACTATCAGTTCCCAACTGACCTGGGTCTGGTGAGCATCAGTGTCAACAATAATAATAATAATAACAACAATAATAATACCGGCGGACTGCCCACTGTCAATCACAACAATAATAACAACACCAACAGTCTAGTTGGCGGCATTGTGACCTTGCCAACACCCGGCGGTGGTCTCATTGGTCTCGAGCATACGGCAACGGGTCTCCGGTTGATCCCAGCACCGCCACCAAATTCGGATGTGCTGACACATACACTGATATACGGCACACCACCATCGGGCACCCAGCAGTTGCATCAGGATCCCAGGAGCTTGCTGCATCAACAGGAGCTACAGTTGCAGCAACGCTACCAGCAGCTGCAACAGCTTCAGGCCCAGACCCAGGGTCTGTACACCAGCCAGGGTAGTCCGGTGCTGTATCACCAACAGCCAAGTCCCAGCCAGAATCAGAGCCAGAGTCAACCGGTGGCCATACCCGGTGCCATTGCCAACGTATGTCATTCGCCGACGCAGCTCCAGCCTCCGAATACCCTTAATCTCCAGCAGCAGATGCAGAGCCTAAGGATCTCGAGCGGTGGAGGCTCGGGAGGATCGGCCACACCGTCGCCGGTGGGCATGATGCCAGCTCCTGCTGCCGGTGATCCCAGCCTCATGATTATGAGCAACTATGTGGCCGCCTCGCCACAGGAGGAGCGATTCATTCAGATCATTCAGGCCAAGGAGCTTAAGATACAGGAAATGCAACGTGCTCTACAGTTCAAGGATAATGAGATAGCCGAGCTCAAGTCGCATTTGGACAAATTCCAGAGCGTCTTTCCCTTCAGTCGAAGCAGTGCAGCGGGCTGTGCGGGCACGGGAAGCAGTGCAGGAGGTTCAGGCGGTGGATCTGGAAGTGGGAGTGGTGCCAGTGGTCCCAGCACAGCCACCGGAGCCACCCGAAAGTCTGGACAGAATTTCCAAAGGCAGCGTGCTTTGGGTATCTCAGCGGAACCACAGAGCGAGTCATCTCTGCTGCTGGAACATGTTAGCTTTCCCAAATATGACAAGGATGAGCGGTGAGTTGGAATTTCATATATTTTTTAAATTTAATGTTGGTAAAGAAATTAAAAGAAATGTTGGGGATTAAAGGGGAACATTTCAAGAAATTTACAATAGAATTTGATATATCAGGGAAGCCATCAAAATTTTGTATGGTTTTGAAATCGGTTTAAATTTTGCAATAAAATATTTAGTATCCCATTTCTGAGATGTAACCTTTAGAAGCATGTAACCAGGTCCTGCTTTCATAAGAATTGAAACAAATTTAAGATTTTTATGGGGTGCCATATAATAAAATTCAGTAAATAATAGCTTTATCCGCTTTATTTCAGTTAGTTTTCCTGTTAAATAAAATTGTATTTATAAAACACATACTATAATTCTAAAAGAAATAATTTTTGTTCCTATGAATTTGATTCGAATTATAATTAAGTTCAAGCTAATCAATAGCCCTGCCTTACATACACGGATGTCCCGAGTATATTATTTATATTATACTATATATAGACAAGGGTGATAATGATCAGACATAGGCATTGGCATCGGAGTCGGCGTCATAGCTGTGATTTTAATCAACAAAAAAATATCGAGAGCAGCGAACTGTCGCCTGTCGCCTGCCACAAAATGCGTTTATTAAAATTAAACTTGAATCGCGTCGCTGCCCATTCAATGGCCTTGGTCAGTGTCAGTACTCGGGGATATTAAAATCTGTATGAATCTGCAAAATAGAGTAAAAAATAGATGAGGCTGCCAATTGGCAAACATTTTAGGCTACATTGCGTCACATACATGTTGCTTTCCCTCTGGGAATTTTTTTAACATTTATTTCTCGTATTTTTTAATACATGCAAAATCCAATCCAATTCGTTGCAGTCTAGAAATTTAAATTAAGAGTTGTGTATAAAATTAAAAAACTGCGAAATTGTGTGGGTGGATCGTTTTGTCGACTTGGCTCTATTCACACTTGCCTGCCTTTCGGCCTACTGGAAGTTGTTGCTCTTCTTGGCCAACTGCTGCTTTCTTCTCCCCTCAAATCCCAATTTGTTGTCTGCGATGAAAAGCATAAAAAACAAGAAAGAAAGCTTCCTTTGTTCGGGAAGCCGAAGTTTGTATACCCTTGCCGTTTGCGATTGGATAACTTGGCCAATAAGTATTCATTTTTTAATATTTTATTTTAAATGAATTAGGAATTTTATTACGAATTCGAATGTGTATCACAATTACAAGCTTTTTTTTTGACAATGTATGCTCTCAAGAATATCAGAAATGTGGCATTCTTTTTATTAATATTTAATATGATATTTTTAGTGACAAACCAAATCTAAAATAGACATAACTCAGCCAAAAATGAATTATTTCAATTCGGAAAGCTTTTCTGTGATAGTTTTTTATGGGTTAATAAATCTGTATACTCAATTTAATATTTAAATATATTACAAATTTAGTCGATTTTTGACAATTTTAACGATGTAAATTTTCGAAATTTTGAAAAAATTAAATTTTTGTCAGACATGTCTAGAAAGATTCTCCTGTTGATGCTGATCAAGAATATATATAAATTATAGGTCGGAAATGACTCCTTCACAGTTTCTAAGCTTCCGACTAAACGTACAATACCTTTTTTGAGTCGATATTTATCCTATATTTTATATGACATTTTGTCAATAAATCAAATTTTAAAAACTCATAACTAAGCTAAAAATGCATTAATTTCAATTGGAAACCTTTCCTATGCTAGTTCTTATTAGGCAATAAAACTGCAACTTAAATTAAAAGGTAAAAATGTAATTTTTTTGTAAATTTTTGACAATTTTAACAATGTAACCCTTATAAAATTTTAAAAATTTTAAAAAATTAAATTTTTGTCGGAGATGGCCAGAAAGATTCTCCTGTTGATGCTGATCAAGAATATATATGATTTATGGGGTCGAAAATGACTCCTTCACTGACTAAAATTAAAATACCCTCTGCGAGGGTATAAAAAATAACATAAATATTTATTCTTCATATACGTGGCAAAGATGTTTCCTGAAAACGATCACAGATCATTTAAATGGCGACACGCGCTGTCGAGAAATAGTTTTCTAATTTTTATTTAATTTTTATTGGCTTCTTATTTTGGTTTTACATATTGTTTTGACTTTGAGGATCCATATTTTATACTGTGGAATTTTTGAAATATTTGTAACATATATATATATTTCTTGGGTAAGCCGGAAAAAATCTATTTTAAATATTATTGTGGCTGTTGCTGATAAACAAAACAAGAGAAGTGTTCCTTTCTTTGTTTTTCAAAGAGAGGTGTTTTTTTTATTCAAGGCGAAAAAGTCTGGAGTAAAATTAGCCATCGCACTTTCTGTACCATTCTAAAAATAATATTGTTTATTTATATGATAAACAAATGGCTAATTTAAACACATTTAAAAGGGGTTTCAGTTCCTTTGAAACACTTATTTGTTATCGTATTTAATTGGTTTAAATATAAATCTATTTATTTTACTTAAGAACAGCATTAGCAAATGTTTAATTGATTATTTCTTAGACTCGCTGACATCATCTAAATCTAAATAACCCCCTAGATTTTCTAGATAGACAAATATAAATTACTCATAATTCTTTACCTTTTTTTTAACGCACTCAAACATATACACAGCTTAATCCGAATGCATATCGGACGCTAAGTAATGCCTGCAAATTTGTTTAAATCGGCCATTTTTATGACCCCAAGCCACCGCCGTTGACACAATCACACAAAATCGCCGGCAAATTTTCGCATTTTCAAATGCAATTCAAACATTTTATTTGGTTTGGCGACTGTGTTGTATTTTTGGTGATTTTTTTTTTTTCATTTTGGAGCCAGTTAAATTGAGGTCCATTTTATCTCTGACCAAAATCTGTGCCGACGGCGACGAGGCAACGCTTGTGTCTGTGCAACAGGACATTTTTTGACACTTGCATGGCATAAATCAAAAGCGCCGTAGGCCTCCACCACCGCCTCTAGATATTATGTATAAATATATATATATACTTGACAGAAATCTATGGGATCGGGATTGAAACTGAGGTTGGGTCCATTTTACACCAACTTTTGCTTGGCTTTCAACGGGGCCATCTAATAAATAATGCCATGAAATTGTGCGAAAATTGGCTTTGGGAGTATTTTCCGAGAGAGGTTTTCAGTGAGTGGCAGGGGGTCGCTTTTAGAACTTGCCACACGTTGCACATACATGTGTCCACTGTTGAGATGACAAGAAGGCATGTTGGGTATTCATTCAGACATTTTTTGGATTTAATTGGGTGTTATTGTCTCATAAGATGGATAAATAGAGTGGTTTTTTGTAGGAAATAATTAATACAATTTAAAAGATCTAGGGAAAATATTTTGGCAATAGGTAATAGAGCTGGAAGGGAGTATTTAAGATATATAACAAGTTTAGTTTCATATCCTTTTATAATGTTTATATTAAGCTAACAAATTTATTTAAAGTTCTTGACATTTTATTACAATTTCTTTTACTACGAAATACAATTTTCAAATATTTAACATTTATAAACAAACAACACTTTTATAGATATTATCTTCTTAATTAATATTCCAAAGAACTGCTTAAACTCTTTCCCAAATATCTACAATTAACTAATATTAACTTAAACCTATATATTACCCGGTAGCTTAACTACATCGCATATTATTTAATTTGTTCAACATCGTCAAATTGGCCAGCTATTTTTCATTTCATTTAGCCAGCATACAAGTCTCCTCCCCTTTTGACGTGTTTTTCTGGGCCTTGATTGCCAACTCACACAACATGGCAACATGAATTGTGCGAAGTGGAGCCGAGTGGAGCCAGGCCCCACCCAATATCGCTTCCATTGGCGCTGACATCTACGCGCAATTTCCATTTTTCATTTTCAATTCCCCAGCTTAGACGCCACTTGGCTTTATTATTGTCAGCAAATAGATCTTTTAGCCGCCAAGTAGTAGTATTTGCACTTTCAATTCGGTTTTCAGCGTTTTGTGAACGCACCCGCAACTGATCAACGATCCACGTATCCGAGAGATATCTCTAGGGACTGTACAGAGAGAAAAAATATACGAATATTAGAAATTGTTGTCAGCTTTTATAAAAAAATTTGTTTCAATTTAGAAAATATTAGTCAGGTACCATTTAAAAATAATATTTGTTAATAATCAAGAGGAATAGAATTTACAGAAAATATTATTATATATTGATATTATATTGATATTGTTATTAATAATCAAAATGAATAGGGATGAAAGAAAATATTATTATATTGATACTGTTATTATTAACATTTCGATATAAATAAATGGATATTCTGTTCGGTATATAGGACCAACTTAATTTAAAAAAATTAATTGAATAACGTTTTTTAGTTAATTATCAATACGCTATTATTTTCTTTATTTAATATAAAAGTTTACGATATTTGGGACATGATATTAATCTCAATATATTTGTCTATATATCCTACGGGCTATTTTGATATACCTTTCCGAAATGGATTACAAATATAACCTCTTTTAAGGTAAACCTTATATAAGGTCATATTTTTACTTTAATTACCGTTTTTTTCCGTGTGCATCTCCTAAGGTGCAGCCGAATCTCATTCCTTGTGCCTTGGCACACATTTCAAATTGAATTTACGCACAAATATAGCCATTTGAATGGTTATAGCTTCCGACAACTGGAACGCTGGGGCGATCCGGCCGAGCCCCGTAGGTCTAATTGAGGCTATTAATTGTTTTGGCTCGTACCCTCGAGCCACTGGCACCACTGGCACCACCTCCATTGTGGCACCACATGCGTATCTGCGTGGTGCAACCAAGGAAAATGTTAATTTAAGCATATAAGAAAAAATGCTCCGCTGGCAAAAAATAAACCCCACGGGGCAAACAGCAGAAAGCGACGACCCACCACCTCCGGCAACACTTATACACTCGGCCAAATTTGGGTAACTTGAGCTCGTAAATTAAGGAAAGTAATGCAGAATAAATTGATTCAAAAAGGCTTTAAAGAAGTTTTGAAGAAAGTAAAAATAAAATAGGGATTTATATATTCCTTATGGTAGGAAATTAGTTAGTTAGCTTAATATTTATTTGGTTTTTTGTTAGTTTCCCTAAACCTGTACTATAATTTTACAACTTGAGTAGTTTTTACTACACTTTTTAAGACTTACTTATTGCACAGCTCTTAGTTTTATCTCTATAATTATAATTTGGTTGCATTTAAAGCAATTAAACTGCTACTAGTTTAATTTTCTTAGTGTAGCGCCTCCTTCTTCTTCTTTGCTTGCAACTCCATTAGGAAAACTAGTTTCCATTTTTTTCGGCTTTTTGGGGCTCTGAAATCTAATACTTTAGCATGTTTTATACAGATTGTCGCTTCCTAGACTCACTAGTCCTGACTAGCGTATCGATTAGACACGGTTCACTTAGTTTATTTTTTGTACATATTTTATTATTTTTGATTTTTTATTAAATTTTAATTGTGAGTGTTATGCAGTGTACCCGCCAAACGGGCGCCACAGGTGTCGCTCTGAGTTCGGTGCAGTTTTCCCCCCAGTCTGTTCCACGAAGGAGGAGGTAACTCATCACCACATTTCGGGGCAATCAGGCAGCGGGTTTTTTCACCTGCACCTACCAACTTCCAAGAAATTCCCAAACTTGGCTTGAATCGTTGCCAAAAATGTGACTTACAAATTGGCTTCCCAATCAAAGCGGCGATGACAGCCTGTGCCAACGCCTTTTTGGTGATATATCAGTGTGGGACTATTTATTTGGTTCTGTAAGGAAAAGAGTTAGGAAATGTTAACATATTTTCCAAATGAAATAATTTTAATTATTTAAAAAGAAATTAACCATCTTTTTGATTGAGTTTACATTCAAAATGTAATCTTTTATTGGCTGTCTATAATCTGGCAGCTTGCTTCACACAAACTGTTGGTCACACTGGACTCCACTCTGCCTGACTGGCTTTAATTAATCAACCACGATCTAGCTTGGCTCTGGCTTCCAATTTATATCCGCCGAGCCCCCAACTTCTTTCTATTCCCATTAATGTTCCACTGGCCCGGGCCAGTTGTCAAGTTCGCTGACAGATAAAGTCATTTGACATTTACAGGCATTGCCGACATGGCTCGACTTGTGGTCCAACTCCTCCATCTCCACCTCCTCCTTCATAACCAAAGATCGAAGCATACAATTTTCAAATTTGTATTAATTTCATATCGGTCGATTTGCGCGCATGCCAACATCCATCGATACGATATTGGATATATTAAAAATAAAACTAGAAAGAAAAAAACAGCGAAACGAGGTAAAAAAAAGCGCAAATGGGGGCCATAATTTTGGTGGCACAACTAGTTGGTGGTGGCCAAAGATAAAACGATTTATATGTGTCGATCGGAAAATTAATTGGACCGAGTCCATTGACAGGTACAGCTTCTTGCCACAAAACTAATTGAGTTTATATATCGTTACTTGCAGCTCCCGTGAACTTATCAAGTCTGCCATTTTGGATAATGATTTCATGAAGAATCTGGATCTGATGCAAATACGTGAAATTGTCGACTGCATGTACCCCGTCAAGTATCCAGCCAAGAATCTAATCATCAAGGAGGGCGATGTTGGCAGCATTGTCTATGTTATGGAGGGTGAGTGATTGTTTTTATAATTATTATTATTATTAAAGGGGTTTTGAAGAAATTATAGAATTTATATACTGTAACGGGAAGGAATAATACACCCATATTAAGGAGAAATTTAGAAATTGATAAATAAATATGAGTGATAATTTCAAGGGTTAATTTTTCCTTTTGCCTCTTCAAAGCTTTTCTCTTAACAAGTTGCCCGAATATTTTCCAGATGTGAAAGGCTTAGCTGTCTTATATTTTCAGCCAATAAGTAGGCAACATTTATGATGTAAAATTCATGTAAAATGTTTTTGGAGGGGAAAAATTTCTTTTGACCTGCCTGGAGTGTTTTTAAGGCCAAAAAGAATTATTATTAAAATCTATGAGTCATCAGCAATTAATGTATTTATGTCCATTAAAATCTATGAATCATAAAGTAGATTTTATATGATTTTTTACAAAGTAAATTAAACTACTTTCCTTTGGGTATAAATACCAAAACAAATAATAGTTAAAGTTCAAAGAAAATCATTTAGAAATTAAACCATTTTTCTAACGGTAAAATAAAAAATCTATTCTAATAAATAATATTTAAAATTCAAGGGAAATGCATTTAGAACAATTTGAATTAATTTATTAGCTTGCAATATTATAAAGAGTAATAATTTCCATGTAAAAATCTATATAATTTCGCACTAGTTCAACTAGTTTTTTACTTTCTTAATTTCTTCATTTTCCACATGGTTTTCCCTTACCTTCCCTTCGCTTACATTTTCGCCCACACTTAGTTTTTCTCATTTTCCTTTTATATTTTAACGTTGCCCCTTGCCAAGATCGTGGCAACTCGTTGTTGCAGATAAACTGCACATGTGTGTCTTGACCAGAGAGGAAAAATAATGTGAAATACCTGAGTTCTTTTGGGCTGGGATTGTGTTTAGAGAGGAGGCCAGGGGACCAGGTACTGAGGGAGACCCAATGGTCACACCCACGCCGCAGCCGGCGGAGTGGAAGAAGTTCAGCGAAATGTCAGTGGCTGTGCCTGACTACGACGACTCGCAAACAATGCGGGTTTTTCCTTTCGATTTTGTTTTTTATTTCTTATTTTTCGCTTAACATTTTGTTTAATAGTTTTTTGCACGTTTCTGCGTTTGTCTTGGATTTATTTTGCTCAATTTCTGGGTGTGCTACGACACTGGGCTCTCTTGACTCCAAACTCCATGGCTAAATATTTTGTCCGAAATGGGTTTGGTCTCGCTTGGGTTCTGTGTGGAATGAGCTAGAGAGCGAGCGTCTCTCTACTGTTAAATTATATTCATTTAAGTACTTGACATTAGCATTTTAATTGCACTGACTGAGGAGACCCCGGTATGGGACCCCAAAAACTGATGATTATATTTGCTTACAAAACGTAATAAAGATGATAATCAACAGTCGAATATTATGCAGCATCCAAAGTGGCAAAGAGATGAATGTGAAGAGCGGATGCTTCCTCAATCTTTCGCCTGAGATTTTCCGCTTCCTTAACCTGAGGCTGGAGGCCTCTCGAGTCGACGGTATCCGTACTCGATCCCATGAACAGATGTCACGGCATCTGTCCATATCACATACGATACCTCTTCATATCTCATCGGATGCATCTGATACTTCAGAGAGAGAGAGCAAGTGAAAAATCCCCAGCAGATGTTGAAGAGATTTGGCAGAGGTTTCAGCCTTGTGGATATTTCTTAATGCCCTGTAAAAATTCCTAAAAGGAAACCTCCAATATATATTTCTGTGATAAGAGTTCCGCTTGCCGATTAAAATACATTTTCACTATCTGAGGCCATGATGTCTGATTTATTTTAAACTTTCTGCTGACTGATTATTTCTAGTCAGAGTAGATTAATATTTTATTAAAAATTCCGGCAACTTTTATAGTAGGATTTTATTTTGGATTTCACACTGAGGTCACTGGACTTAATCAATAATCTATTTCTGCGAATTCATTGTTCCATTTATGAATTGTTACGTTTTCTAGAAAAGATAACGTTTGTATTTCTTCAGATTTGCGTAGCGAATCGATGTGTCTCTTATGGCCAAACCAGTTCGCATGTACCCTATAGCTACACTGGGAGAAGTCAAGTTATAACTAGTAATGCAGTATAAGATTTTATAATTAATAATACTTTTTCTTGAAAAAATTAACTAGAAATGTTTGTGGGATGATAAAACTACATTTTATATACGAATTCTTCAGTATCTTAAGGGGAACATTTTTATTAAAGTCTGGTTTATTGTTACTATACTTTTTCTATCAGTGCACAGCACTTGTTTTTGTTGAGTTTTGTACCTGTGTTATGGTGTGTGTATTATGTTTCGACTATGTTTTCAGCTTGCTCTCTCAGAGAGTCTTCTCTTCAGATACGCACACACATATAGGAAAAATCTCTCGATCTTTGCTCTCTCACCCACGAACAAAACAAAGCTGCTGCATTATCTCTTTTCCACAGAGAGAAAGTTTAAAAAGAAAGGCATCTATCTTAAGGAACTTGCAGATTGCTATTGAATTATAGGATCAAATCAAAAGTCTATATTTTTATATGACAATTTTCTTGACAAATCAATGTTTCCAAAACCCACAACTCAGTCAAAAATGCATTAAATTTAATTCGGAAACCGCTCCTATGCTAGTTTTTATTAGGTTAATAAATCTGCATACTAAATTTAATGTTTTAAAAAATTCAAATTTTTGTCAATTTTTGCAAATTTTAATGATGTAAACCCTTATTATTTTTTCGAAAAATGAAAAAATTTTGAAAATTTTTTTCTCAACCTGGCATAGCCAGATCGATTTGGCTGTCGATACTGATCAAGAATATATATGATTTATGGGGTCGGAAATGACGAAAATGATTTATTGTATTATTAATTATACAATTTAAATAATAATATAACAATCACATGATAAAGAAATGATCTGCCTGCAGGATCACATTATTCCCACATGATGACTCATTGTAGTCGTATTTTTTCGCTGTGTAGATTTCGCTCTTTCTCTCTCTGGCTCTCTGGTACTCTCTGACTTCTTCCCCTATCTCTCAGTTGAAACCGAGTGAGTGAATAATGCCTGAGCATAAATAATACTTGTATTCCCTCGACCGATCTCTCGCAATTCACACTCCTCATTCGTTCAGTCGGAGGCGCACCAAGAAAACGTGTGAGGCGCCTGCGCGCTCGGTTGCGGAAAAATAAATGCACCTGGATTCATTGCTATTGTTGTTGTACCTTACAAGCGGTGTTACAAGGGTTTTAAATACTCCCACTTCGTGTTTCGTTCCGTTTTGTATCGTGATTTCTTGGGCATTCGTGATTCGGTGCAGTGAGTGTTACGGTTCTTGGTCTTCAGTTTTGCATATTGCATTATTTGCGAAATCGAGAGACGCCGCGAGTTGTAATAATAAAGCACATTCCGGACAGTTACAATGGCATTTCTATAAAGCACACACATGCCGCCTTTGAGCTATTTTCCCAACAATGCCTACATAAAAAATATATATAAATAGCTCTTGTTGCGGTAGTTGTTCTACTAAAATTTCAGAGTAAACAAAAAACGGTCACAGGAAAAATCCGTGTTAATTTCTTTGAACTATGCTGGGAAATTCTTGGAAAAATACCATTTAATTAAAAGTGAAAGTGAATTTGTTTGAAAATAAACTACTATTAAACTACACTCTACGTAAATGTGCAAAGAATGAGACACTGAAAACAGAGACTCTTGGATTGTTTTTTGCTCGAAATCGAATTGAACAACAACAAAAAAAAGATCACTTGAAGAATTCCGGTTTGTGGTTTTCCTCTACAAAAGCAGCAGCAGCTGTTGTTGTTGTTGTTGTTGTTGTTGTTGTTGTTGTTGTTGTTGTTGTTGTTGTTTCAGTTTCAGTTACTTTGCTCCGTTGATTTGTATTTTTTGTCTTCGGTCATTGGTCCGAAAAAATTAAACCAAAAAAAAATAAGAAGCAGAAACAGAAAATAATGGTGTAGAAATACAGAAATTATATAGCAGCAAAACTGTATAATGCCAAATGTCAACACTTTGGTTTCGATCGTGCAAGAATGTGAGAACATGAAACCCAACAACAGAATCTGATATGGCCCAAAAGAATGAAAGAAATTCTGCAAAAATTTAATTAAAAACTTTATAACTAGAAAAGGGAACTAGAAATCGTGTGAAGAAACCCCAAAACGAATGAAGCATCATCACAACATCTCTGTGAGCTAATGTCATGCCCTGAATTCAGGTCTCCCCACCTGTCTTTTTGACTTCTTTTGTTCTGCCTAACCTCAGGTTAAGCTTGTGTTAAGTCAGGTTAGTAGTTAGCGGGGGAAACAGACCGGTTGGAACTCTGGATTTGCCCCGGAACCAAGCCAACACACTCACTCTCACTTTTACAAGCAACCCAAAGCCAAAGCCAACTAACGAGTTTTTGCATTTTGCCTTTTGACATGCCAAGTGAACTATACTCTGGCTTTATGCTCGCTCCACTGACTGATTGAGTAATAAAATAGGCGAAAAGTGGAAAATGATTGCTAGACGGGATCACAAGATCATTGAGAAACTGGGCTCAAGCCAACAGATGTTGGATTTCAGAAGAGGTTTCTTCCAATTGACCCAAAAAACGGTTTGCTGTAGCTTCTTGTTCAGGTCTAATTTCTTTAATTTGGTAATTTTTAAAGTGGAAAATGAATGCCAGAGGGGAACATTACCAGATCATTGGGAAATTTAATGCATAGTTGATCAAAAACAAGTGGAACGAATTGCCTCATGGTTAAAAGGGAAATTGTTGATCATTTTTTGTAGAAGAAACATTGAAAAAAGCTGAGAAAAAGCATGTATTAAATATTATTAAAATGTTACGCATATCTATAATAATATGCATTTCCTATTATGTTCAAGAAAAGAGAAGAGATGTTAATTAATTAATTATACCGGCACCACCAGAAGGATTTTTTCAAACTGATTAATCGAAAGTTAATGATGGCAA